TTCACTTCGCGTTGTCTCCTAAAAGTTTCTCTCATTTAGGGTGGACTGCAGGTTCAACACAGTCTAAGTATCCAATCTACATGCGCGCCCGTCTAGCAATGGTAATATGGTCAAGAGGCTTTCTACATGTTATCGAATCCGATTGAGGGTGCTAATGAGGCTTAATCGAAGTTTAAATTGCAATCCCCCCTAGATGAGCTACTTTTTTGGAGACGAGACTATGCACAATTCAAAGGCATCGTGAAGTATATTTATAATGTAGTGGAAAAGTTCAACTAACATTCCATAAATAATCTTAAGAGATTCAAATAGAATAAATTATTGTATAGCCAGCGATAGCAAAAACTTGGGTCATTAATATATGATCAAAGTGTATGAGTTTGAGAAGACTGTCAGTTAAGGGAGTGCAACATTTCATACAATAAGAGAGTTTAAGAATAAAAATATATATGGACAAATATTTAGAAATTTGGCTTAATTATGAAATAAGGGCCTACAAAAGATGGGATAGTGACTTTATGACATAAAAACACCAGAAATAATATCCTAAGGCTAAATAGCTTAGCAAAAAGTATTTTTCTTATAAGGGCTTACCGGCACAGGCTTTCTTCGCAATATTACAAAATCGTCGGCACGCATCATCATAAAACGAGTAAATTTGTGACAGAGAAGCCGCTCTATTTCATCGGACTGTTTTATGCATATACTAATGCGGACTGAATTGACAGAGCCCTCAACAAGCACACGTTCTTTTTCATTGCGACTGATTACCACCGGATTCAAAAGCAATTCTTTGGAGGTCTTAACTTCTACCTCTGGCTTATTATGGCCCTCAACGACCTGGGAAGGGAAATTTTCAATGCAAAGGGCAGCGTTGAGAGTGTGTCTGATAGCAATAAGATAGGACTTCAATGCCTAAAATAGAAAACGCACCCTTGGTTAGAACAATAAGGCATCTGTGGCATAATAGTTCCCAAAGATAAGAAAATTGGCATAAATATAGGCTAATGGAAGAATGTTGTAATGAACGCAGCACTAAATTATACCGAAGAAACATGCTCTATGAATAATAAAAGGTAAGCATGAATGTGTATAAATATAAATCAAAATAATTCTTTTAAATTACATCCATTAAAAAAAATAATAATTTAAAAGTAGGCCACACACCATAGGTAGCACTAATGCAGTCAGGTGGGAAGCCCCTTTTAAACTGGCAACAGGTACTTTATCGTATCCTTAAACTATTCTTACATATAAAAAAATTTATTATTTTTTTAATTCTGTTACTCTCTTAAATAAAATTTTAGATACTTTGTGCTTCTTGGTATTTTTTGACTACCGCGACGTCCAATCTACCATGCTCTATTTCTTGCCTGTCCTCTTTTGCTCATTTTTGTGATGTAAGTTTTTTTATAGAATA